TCTTTGAGATGGTCATTAGTTTGAATCTTATATAGTATTAATATGGTTATTATGTTAATAGGTTTTTGTACATTAAATCAACCTTACATTCTCTAGGATAAACCTCACTTGAGCATAATACACAATCCTGTTCAAATGTTTGCTGGATTCAGTTCATTGTAAGTTTGTTGAGGAATTCTTGTTTCTACATTCATAGAGAATGAAGTTTTCCTTTCTTATAATGTCTTTAGTTTTGGTAAAAGAGAAATAGAATGATTTGAGGTTTTATATCATCTTCTAGCTTTTGTAAAATATTCAAAAAGTTTTATAGCATTTTATGTAGTCATTTAGCAGTCACATTTTGAGTGGAAAAAAGGTAACTATAGAAAGGATTTGGAAGAGCATACATACTTTTAGCCACTGCACAATAACTAGTACTGAATTTACCTCTGCTACAATTAAAAAATAGGACTAAATTTTTGATTTACTGTTTTTATAAACTGAACAGCTAACAGCACAAAAAGGAAAAAAAAAACGTTATCAGGTAAGCTCTTGGATTCTTTCTGCACTATGGTGCAGTGAGGAAAAGTTCAAGTGGGAAGTATCATCTCAGTCAGCTGATGTGGCAGAGATTGGAAGATAAGGTAGTAAATAACTGAAATTTAGGGGCCATATTCATGGGAGAGAAAATTGTGTGAGGGGATAACACAAGTGTCCGTATAGACGTTGCCCTAAATGCTTTGGCCAAGACCAAAGCCATTCATTTCAAACTGAGATTCCCTAAGGCTTAGTAGTAAGCAGAAGCTAAGAGTTGACTGAAAAGAGAGAGAAGTTACACAAAACAAGAAAAATATTATATTCGGAACAAAGAAAGAGAAAGGTCTTATAGAGCTGGTCATACATGCAGTTATAACACCTAAAAAGGATACATTTCAATAATAAGAAACACATCCTAAAAGAAACCCCAAGACTAAGGAAAGATCTGAAATTAACCCACAATAACAAACCACATTTCTAGTTCTGATAGATTAAATGGATCTTTTAATAATTTAACTTCTTACCAGAAAAAGAAGAATTAAATACCCAAAGGAAGACAATATAATACAGAATCCCTACAAATCACCATTTACAATGTCCAGCATAAAATGAAAAACTACTATATTTGAGAAAAGACATAAAACCTGATCCATGTAAGAGGAAAACAGAGTCAATAGAAAAAGGTCCTGAAATGTCCCAGATGCTGAAAGTAGCAGAAAAACTGTTAGAAGTATGTTCAATTGCTTCAGATGAAGATAGACATGATGAATGAAAAGATGAGGGAGGCCTGCAGAGAATTGGAAACTACTAAAAAATACTCAACCTGGGGCCTCCCCAGTGGCGCAGCGGTTGAGCACTGGGTTGTGAAGCTGCCCACAGGCTCTGCAGTACCAGTTCAATCCCCGGCTGCTCCCAGGGCACCGGAGGAGGGTCCCACATGCCGCGCAGACCTCTCCTGCCGCCCACTGCTCCCCTCAGCAGTGTACTTCGGTCCTTCTGCCTGCTCTGCTCCCCGCTCTGGCTCTCCTGAATCCTCTCAACCTCCAGCACTTCTGACTGTACCCAGTGCTTGTATAAATAAATAAAAATAAATTTAAAAAAAAAAAAAAACTCAACCTGAAATTCTAGAAAGATGATTGATAGCTAGCTAGCTAGCTAGATATAAATATTTACAATCCTTAACTCAGTAAGAAAACTGGAATAACTGAAATTTTAATACATTTCTAAATTATTATTGTTAAAATTATTAGAATTAAATCAGAAACAAAAACAATAAAAGATACAGGTTAAATTAGAAAGGCCATTATAAAAGATAATTTTAAAGGCTATGAATTATTATCAACATTAGCCAAAAGCAAAAAACTTGATCAAAATTGAATTTTAAATGTCAGTTATTTAAATCCCAGAAACACAGAATTCACCGTTATGAAGAAATTCTGTTGGTAAGAACTGTTGAAATGTTAACCATATATTTGTGATACAGATTCTTCACCAGAGACATGAAATATGATGGTAGAGACCTCAATGTTGTATTACTTAGTATATTTAAATATGAATCAAGAGGAGAAGAAATATTGATTTATGGCTCCTTGAAGTTTTAGCTTATGACACATTTTATGCCATCATATACTTCTAGATAGAAACTACACTTAATACAAATGATCTCCTGTCTTCTCAGTGGCAAATTCAATTAAAAGGGTTTTTTTAACCAACATGAATATATAAACTTTTCTGTATGTAGAGGGAATCACCTATTCCTAACTATAACATTAAATTTATTGATACACTTTATTACTTACTTAAAACACATATCATACTGGGCCTCCCTGGTGGCACAGGGGTTAAAGTCTCAGCACTATCAAGCTATCGCCAGCCACTGGGGCAAGAGTTTGACCAGGCCAGGGAGCTAACCCACATATGGCGCAGCAGACCTCTCCTGTTTCACCTACTGCTCGCTCCCTCCTCAGCAGTGTGTTTCAGTAGATCTGCCTGTTCTGATCCCCAATCTGTCTCTGGTGAATCCTCTCACCTCCTACACCTCTGGCCTACACCCCAGTTCTTTATACACAAATAAATTTTTTTAAATCTTTTTTTAAAAATATCACATTACATAATAATCCAGAAATGATGCTTTCTTCCACTTAGGGAATGATGAAACAATTTTAATCAAACTTTTCACACATATCTTCAGTGTCTAACTCTTCAATATTACCAGAGCCATTCACACCATGAGGAAATTTCAAAGTATTTTCAAGAAATGAATAGACAATTCACCTTTATCATTGCTACAAAGGATTTTGTTGGTGGGTTTTAGAAAAGTATTTGTAAAAAGGAATTCATGAAAAAAACCTATAATTCTGACCTAGAGAGAGACTTAAAAAAAAATAACCACCTGAAACTTCTGTGTTCCGTGCAGCTCGCTTGGGAGGGGGTGGTGCCGGGGGCAGGGTGGGGGTGTGGATACATCTATTGAGTGACTTGCTCCTAAGAAAACCAAAACAGATTATGACAAAATAGATAGGGCTGCAGCCAGGAGGTAACTCACTCTCTTCCAGTGGCTTTAAGATTCAAACTGTATGAATCTTAAAGACAAAATGTGAAATTCATTGTAGGTATGTTGGCTTAGGAGCTTTCAAATCAAGATCCTATCCAAAAGGAATACTTGGCTTTCTATTCTATTCTGTCAATAGGTTCACATGAGGAGACTAGGGGAAAGGAGGTGGGGAAAAGAATGTCAGTATCACCCAGCAATGACAATACATCCTGGCAGAAAGTTGACCCTAAAGCATTAAGGGTTATAGTTTCACTCCCAAAACTACCTGCATATGTTCCTCAAAGACACCAGACCAGATTTGCCAGTACCCCTCCCCAGATACTTCAGCCCAGTACCCATAAACCTGGAGTACCAGCATTCATCAGGCAATGACAACTTCTTAGAGGCCACAGTCCAATTCAGGATCCTGGATTCAATCCCCTAAGATTTAAAGGTACCAACATTTTCCCTTTCGCATCCCCAGATTTAAAGAGAGTGTCTGTTTTCTAATACCTGGTTAATAATTCTTTATATAAAATTCTCTGTTAAAATAATTGGAATGGTTCCTGCTTCCTAACTAGACTTTGACTGATTTACTTTATAAATTTTGCAGTCCTCAATAAAATCTAATGCATAACCCATGAATATTATATTGGGGATTTATTCTGAAGTTCATAGTGAATATATGGTAACTACAAAGAGACCTTCCCCTGGCATAATAATGCACCCTTACTGGCTTTATACCCAGTAACTTGCTGTGAAAGGGCAAAATCCTTTAACCCCTTCGAGGCTTACCCAACCAAAGTCTGGAAGCACAAGATGATCTCAATACATATTGTGTTTTAGTAACAGTCCCTTTCAGCCTGCCTCTGGATTTAAGACACTTAGGAGTAGTATAGCTGCTCTATATCCCCAAAATTTCCTGGGACACTTGTTAAGTTCTATTAGTGCATCTTTTTAAGGCCATATCACTTGACTTGAGGTAGAAGCTAGCATCACTCTTCCATTTGTGGAAGACAAAACATCACAAAACACTGATCTCTCTACCAAAAAATACTCAGTACATACCTTTGCTTTTTAATTTTCAATAAATAATTTCCAGTCTACTTTTATATAGGATAGAGTTAGGGGATAAAATATTGAAGGCAGGACTGAGTTTTGGAAACCCTCTAATCTTGCATAAAGTTGAGGTACGTAGAGAGCTCAAATTTAGAATGTAAATACCAAGCATCTATGGGCCCTGGCTTCTAGTACCTCCTTTGAAACTGTAAGCCATCAGAAAAATTTTCACTTAAAAATCCTATATGGAGGGCCTCCCCTGGTGGCACAGCGGTTGAGTGCTGGGCTGCGAAGCTGCCTGCAGCCTCTGCAACACCGGTTCGATCCCAGGCCGCCGGCGAGGGTCCCACATGGCGCGCAGACCTCTCCTGCCGCCCACTGCTCCCCTCAGCAGTGTACTTCGGTCCTTCTGCCTGCTCTGCTCCCCGCTCTGGCTCTGGTGAATTCTCTCACCCTCCCGCGCTTCTGACTGTACCCACTGCATGTATAAATAAATAAATAAATAAATCTTTAAAAAAAAAAAAAATCCTATATGGATTCAGATATAAACTAATCTTTTATAACCAAAGACCCTAAAATAAAGTAGATCAAAGAAGACAGAAGATTGCTGTTCTCTCATGTAACAACCAGAGGTAGGCAGGTAGGGCAGGATGAGAAGGTCACCTGTTCCATGGGGTCAGCCAGGAACCAGGTCCTGCCACCTTATTTTTCAGACATACCATTCAAAATAACCTACACTCATCAGAGTTGAAGCTGCTTCATTACCACAATGATCGAGGTCCAAACTATTTAAGAATGGAATGAAAAACAGGGATGTGCATACTCAATTTTTTAAAAAAGACTCAGAAGGAGCATTTAAAATTTCTACTATATGTTATAGATAAAAACTTACTCAGTTACCACATCTAGCTCCACAGGTTGGAAAATGTGTCCTTAGTTCATCGCCCATTTGCCCAGCTAAGATCAACTGCTTCTATCGCTAAAAGGAAAAAGGAAAGAATGGACATTGGGGATATGTAGTAAATCCTGCTAACAAACATTTATAAACACATTCAAGATTAAAAATGAATACTGAAAAATAAATTACTAAAAAAGTTTAATATGAAGTGCTACATTCAGAATATACTTTCAAAAAATGAAAAGGGTTTCTCTAAATATTTAGTTCCCAAATATTTAAACATTCATAAACTATGATCTATCTTGACATTTAAGGAACTAATGTTGAGAACATGGAGCTCTACTTTCAGTGGTCTAGAGAAACAATGCAAACGATGAAAAAGAAGATGCTTTGGATGAGTTAGGACCCTCAATAGTAACACCTTCAAAACTCACAAGAAACAATTTATCAGTCATCTAAAATAATAATAATAAAACAGCAGAGATTGTGTTTTATTTCTTTTATTCATCTATCCTAAGTTAGATGGGAAAACTTTTAGAACAGGGAGCTCAGTTTATTAGCAAAAGGGAGCTAACCTAAAAGGGAGCTCAGTTTATTAGCAAACTAAAAAATCAGTGCCTCCAGTGACTGTAAAGAGGCCACATATTAAGTACTAGAAGACACAACTCTAATATTTATAGATAGTGAAAGTTCTAAGAATTACCAGCTAATAGGCTCTTTTTAGCTAAACTACACTGTAGGAGTTCGATTCCATACAAGTTTCACTTTTGCCAGGTATGTTCACAAGAACAAATCAGTTCAACATGAACTAATATTCAGCTGGCAACCACTGATTAAAGCCCACCTCTGACTGGCTTGAAGAACTCCTGAATTAGTTAATAAATGAATTTGGGGCATCGGAATATCAGTGACTGTAGTAATCCCAGTCATTTTTAAAAAGCTCACTCCAACGTTTCCAGATGTCCTCTCACTACAGATGGCAGTTTAAACAAGTTGAGAATTCTAAGATAAGCAAACGATTTACCCTTGGGTGACCTGAGGAAAAGGGACACTGGCAGTTTTAAAAGTAGAGCCATTTGAACATGTCTTGAGAACAGTGGTTTCCCCAAATGAAGATGAAAGAATCCAGTATGTGATGAAAGAATCAAGTGTATAAACTGCCCTTTTCAGTATGGACTTCTAGCAAGCATTTATAAATTTACCTACGGAAAAGAATTTGTAGTATTTGGGAGGCTGGCACAGTTACTGCCTTTCATTAAGCTTAACTAGAAGCCATATTCACAATTTGGATCTTAGAGAATATGTATTTTGGGACCATCATATATATATATATATATATATATATATATATTTTAAATAGAAAATGCAAGTTTTTTCCTAGATTATTCTTTATAATAAAGTTTCAACTGATAAACAAGTAACTAAATAACTACATTTTCATGTTTGTTAGTTTATGTCAACAGATATTTTAAGTACTCTTCAGCTAATTAAACCACCATTCCACTTTTAAACACCTCGTTTTTAATATTCTCTATTCATCTGACAATTTCCTACTGAAAGTGTAATACCGCGTTTTATATAAAGTCCACTTTCCATGAGAAATCCTTGTGAGCAAATAATATTTTCATCTTAAGGGAGCATATTAAGCCATATTAAAAGGGGAATAGTAAGAATGTTTAAGTTTAGAAGTCAATCAGTAGCTTAGACTGAAAATAAAAAATGCTATTCTAACACAGGGCCAGTTAAGTAACACATAGTCTAAAGAATATTTTTAGAGCCAAATTTCATTATTCAAAGACAAAATCCATAAAAGTATGTAAAACTTAATGTGTGGAAACATTTAAAATTCCAGCATTTGAAAAAGTAACTTGGAATAATGTCAAATGTTCTAATTTGTAACCAAGACAATTACAATACTAGTTTTAGGTAACTGAAATGCCTTTATTTAACAAAAACTTTTAACACAATGAAGGGATTATTTTAACTCTTATAAACAACAAATATAATAACAATCACAAAAAAAGGCACAAAACTAAAATAGGTACATTCATTAATTCAAGTAAGAAAATGAAACAGAAGACTAAAAATCTGAAACAAGTTATTCACTCCCTATCACGGTATATAAAAAGAAAACATCTCAAGAAAAGGCAAACCATTAAGATGCTTACTTGATTATTATCCTGTGCAGATCTAATAGGCAGACAAATAGAATCTTAAAGATGAAATTTATTCTAGAGGTTGTGCCATTTACAAAGTTATTGTCTCTTAGTTCCAAATCCAGACTTCTACATTCCCCTCTCTTATGCTAGGGTTGAGACTTTGTAAACCAAATTTCTGCTTTACCAGCTGGCTCCATGTTGAACTCCTCCAAAACGAATCCTGGGAGGAAGAATCAACTTCTCTGTCCACTTCCCATTTGTGTCCCCCAGGCTTCCAGGGTGTGACATTTTTATTAGCATCACCTCAAAGCTTCTTCAGTGTGGTGGCAGCAGTGCCCATCCATAGCATAGCTGACTCTAGTTTGCAATTATTCCAACATTTGCCATGTCAGTCTTATCATACCCATCATGCCCTCCTTCTTCAGAACAAACTTCACAATGGCTCCTCTTCAGAGGTCTGGATCTCAGGTCCATGTGGCCTCATTAAGTCATTAAAATCTTTTGTTTTTGTTGCTCCAGCCAGCCTTACCGGTAGTAGTTGCAATGCCTTAGTATTCACCTTTCCCCTTTTCAATTTTTTTAGTTCACTTTATGCTAAGTTCATAATTCTTAATATTTATTTCTCTACTTAAATAACTACTATGGTTTCTGTTCTCTGAAAGAACCCAGCCTGATCCAGTTCCTAAGGTGAATGGTGCTATCAAAACACCAGGGGATTGCTCCCTCAGTTCAAGTTTGAAAAGGCCTATCTAATACCATGCTATATAATTTTCTATTTGTAAAATATAAAAACATTATTTTCATAAAAAAATTCTTTGTTCCAAATGAGGCACAGAAGAGAGTGGTTCTCAACCAGAGCAAAATGGAGGTTATGGGTCCTGAGACGCGGACTTAAAGTAACAGAAGGTTTAGAAATATCAATTCAACTCTAATCCTTTCATAATATAAGAAACCTAAGATCTATTAGACCTATTAGCTCCTTAATCAAAAGAGCTAATCTGTCTACTAAAAATTTTGATATAGTAAACATTCAAATAAAAACCTGTGAGTTAAGAGTTCCAAAAAAGTTGTTAGTGGCAGAATTAAATCTAATGGCCCATCTCTCAGTGGGAGGTTTCATCCTGCCTATATCAATTTCACAGTCCCATTAACATTGAGGATCCAGAATCAGAGGGAGGGAGGGAGAAGCACAGGGGACTGTGGTGATGGTGCAGAGGTGCACTGGTGAAGGAAATTCTATAGGGACTACACCCGAGGGCAGGGGGGGAGCAAATATTGTTTAAAAATGAACAGTGATATAAAAAAAATTAAATTCAATTTAAAAAATTAAATCATCATATTCCACTACAAAAAAAAATTGAGGATCCAGAAAAACATTGGTAAGGGTTGATTTCCCCAGGAAGCAGAATTTGTACTGTCAGGAGTAGTAATAGCAATATTTTTATTATCAACTGCTGGAGAGAGAGAAAGAAACAGGATTAAGCAAAGGGAGAATTCAACTGTGAACAGTACCAAAGGAGGCTTCAGTTGACTCTACAGGAATTCTGAAGATAGGATGATCCTTTAAAGTTATGCTGAACTGACGTAAAATAGTTGAGCCTTTAGACGTCTATGTCAATCAGTCTTTAGATCCAGACCCAGGCAAACCCAAAAAGGAAGTACATCCTTAGCCAAAGGGCTTCATTCAGCCTACTCAAGCCAAGTAGAAGAAGACAGTATATCACAGTATCCATGACAGTCCAACTTGTGTGCTGCTTGGACTCACTTCTTTGTTTCTGGAAGCAGTTTCTTCGGGATTCCAGTAAGCCCTCATCACTGCAGCTAGTCTGGGCTATAAATGATACACATTATTGCCTTCATTCACTACCCAATTTTGAGTCCTCTCATTCTCAATTGGCATGCCTGCTAATATCCATAAGTTCTCTTACTATATAATCCAGATCCTCTCCTAAAGTTTCCATGTCCTCTCATGGCATGTCTCCTTGAAGACTTGGTAGTAGCCACCTAGTGTCCCCTGGTAGAAATATTCTCCCTTTAAAAACCAAAACTTCTAAATCCTCAGAACCCAGAATTGCTGATATGGAAATTCCACAAGTAGATTATTGAGAAAGACAGCAGGCAGAGCCAATAGCTATTTCCACTCCTTGATCCCTGAATCCATGCAGTCTACCAATTAGGGGCCATATAAAAGTGTTTGGCCTCCTGGAGGATAGCAATCCAAACTCAGAGTATTATCTCTCAGCTAACACTTCAGCAGCTCCTGCAATAGGCTGTTCCTTCAACACTTTCTATCATCCTATCACACCAGCAGCTTCTGAGTGGTGTAATAGGTAATATAAGCAGGACTCCCAGGGTTACGTGCATTCTGCTGTATCTCTTCAGATGCAAAGTGCAGTCTCATGTTATTAGAGCAAACATTCTATAAGTCTTTTGATATTGCTTACTTCATTGAGGGAACTTAGGGCAGTGCATTAAGGAAAAGGAAATCGATGCCCATAAGACACATCTATTACTCTCAATGCAAGTCTCTGGTTCTGGTGACTCTATGTTAGAAGGAGTCCTATCCAGTCAATTTAACATGTGAGTGATTAGTTTCTTCAAGGGATGGCATCACACTGGGAACTCAGTATTGATGTCTGTTTAAGGCCAATCGGTGTTCAGGAACAACAGTAGCTGTTTTAGCCTCAATAATTTGGGGCCAATATTGTCAAACCATGCATAGCCTTCTCCATTTCTACTACATCACTGATTCATCCTACCAACTGTGCCTTCACTGGACTGGTTGCCATAACAGAGGTTACCTTTCTGGTGGATGTTGATATACAATCCAAAGATCTTCCTACTTCTTGTTCACTCCCATATACTCATAACTCTACCTCAGACTACCTTTGACCCAAGCTAACAACTTTTCTCCTTCTAAGCCCTTGATCAACCAGCCAACCTGAATCAACCTGGTTAATCTGACCCTGAATCCAATATTGGCTATTTCTCTTGCAACATCAAATGGAAAACCAGTTGGATCCCAAGGTACTGACCATTGGAAGGCTATTCTATAACACTTCTTTGAAAGCCACTCGAGTGAGGCTATTGCTCAACCACAATATCACACTGAATCCTCCATGAACCAAATGGAGATTTTTCTTCTCCTTCACTAACTTATCAAAAAAATTATCCATACAGGTCTAAGCTGAAGATGAGGTATTTGGGCAATAGCAGTAGATAAATAGCATGGGTGTCCAGTCTACCTACTCATACAAGTTGTGTCCTCTAGTCCCATTTGTGTTTAATCCTGAATGTACCACTAGGTTTGCTCAACCTTTAAACAAGGCTGATTCAACAGAAACCAGTCCACAGAGGACAGATGTTACCACAATGTCATTCAGTACCACCATGTCAAGCACTCCACCTCTCTCAGGACTGCAGCAGACAAAGAGCTGATTTTCAAAAGGAAGATAATTCTCTGCAACATATATAGTCATGCTTTAGAGCCCTATAAATCTGTAGTTAAATCTCTCATTGGTAGATACCATAGTTTCTACACATCCATATATTCCATACTGTGTCTTTTCCCACCAGATCTCTACTACCCAAACACATGGCACTACAGCCAATGTGTATCTTAAACATGTCATTTTTCTTTCCCTTGACTTTAAACTTTTTATTTATTAAGATTCACATTTTTCCATAATTAATCCAATTTATGAACTATCAGGAGGTTTAAAAGTGGCCAGTTCATTAAAGATAAAGGGCTACAGAAGATTAGAGAAGGGAGAGTTTACTTCCCTGTGAGACTATGATAGGATGAATAATGAATGACATCCCAAAAGATATCTATGTTCTAATTCCTAGAACCTAACAATTTACTCTCTATGGCCAAAATTGGGGAAAAAAAAAAAGACTTTGCAGATGTGATTAAGTATTTAGGTTGGGGCCTCAATGCAATTATATTTAATTTTATATGTAGAAACAGAGGAAGTAAGACACTAAAGTGGAGAAGTAGTAACTACAGAAGCAGAGACTGGCATGATACAAACATAAGCCAAGAAATGTCAGCAGTCACTAAATGGTGTAAGAAGCTGCATGAAGCAAGAAAGAGCCTGTTTTAGAGCTTCCAGAGAGTGCATGGTCCAAAACTATAAAAGAAAAAAAATTACACTGTTTTAAGCAAACAATTTATGGTAATTTGGTACGGTAGCCCTATGATACTACTGTAGAAATCCAGACAGGTTGCAGAGCATTTGAAGAATGGTAGGTAAGGTATACAGACATGGTGACTGAAAAAAAGGAAAAGGGAAGGGAAAACGAGTGTTACAGATGAAGAAGAGAGGTGATAAAAGAGGAAATCAAGGGAATTGTACAAAAAAAGTTGTTATACAAGAGTATATGCAACTTCAAAGTAAGTAATGATATACACTAGATCCTAATGCCACTCTAAGAAGTCTGAACATTAACCTAAGAAGAGTGAACTGTAGTCTGCAAACACTCAAAATGCTCTACATCTTTTGAGCACAAGAGAGTGTGTGTGTGTGATGGAAGTGGGGGTCTGGAAGGGGAAATAATGATGTGATAAATTCTGTGAATACATGTCACACTAGTCTATAATTTTTTGTCCCTCTCCTTCCACAAGATTTAAGTGTTGAGATTGAATTTTATCAGGACTGGCTGAAAATTCTGGCCAAAGTGTGTAAGTGGTATGAAGAATATTACACATTATTTTGGTTTAGTCATTACTAAAAGTGGTAACACAAAGTAGAACAGAATATTGTGCAGTACTTACATTGCTCTTCAACAGTCTGATTAAGATGACTGCATTTTTAAAAATACTGAAATTATAAGAGATTTGGGTTCAATATAAATAACCTCAGAAAAACACTCCAAAACCAAGATAGCCATTCTAGCCAAATCCAATCAATGAGCGATAGTTGTCTGGGGCAGAATTGAGACTTAATGTAAGGTTTGTGCCATAACAGATCAGCAGTGTGTTTATATGTTGGATTAGGAGCAGAAATCTAAATGACTTGTTTCCCATTCCATTCTTGTTCCAAAAGTTAGTCTTTAAAAACCTTTCATACATATATTTTATGTGAGGTACTGAAATAAATATTCCATTTCCATGGAGGTTTCCATTAGTTGAGCATGTTTGAGCAAGGATTTACTGCATTCAAGTAGAAAGGCAGCAAAAGGCTGTAGTGTATAAGAGATAGGGAGTTATTCTGCTTTCTGATTTCCATGATTTCAAAGTACTGACAGGAAAAACAAGGCAGTTTCAACGGTCAATCTTGAAATACCAGTGCATGTTTTATGAAAAGTCTAACTCTGTTTTGGAAGGAGCAATCTACTCTTGGAGATTGTAAGGCCTTGGAGAGGAGGAAAATCAGCATTTCACAGTCAGTGGAGTCAGCTGGGGGTTAGAGGGAGTAGATGCAACTTTCTAAACTGAATTCCACTTACACTGAAAGTTTTAAAACTGGACCCAGAGAAAAATGAAACATCAGTGATTGCAACTTAGATTATGTATGAAATGGAGCACAAACTTCCGTGACGACTTGTAGCACCCACACTTAACGTGTGCCAAAATAACTGCCTTTTAAATGTTTAAAATACAGTTCATGAAACAAGATATGAAAAACGCAAAGATTATTACACAAGGTTTGTTATCTCTGTTGCTAATACGCACCCTCCGGTCGGGGTGCAAGATGTTTAAGGTCCCACTCCAGTTATCATTTTTGTTGACGTAAAAGGATGTCGTGGGCCCGTGTGGGAAGCCCCTTAAGAGTGGCTGGGTCTTCAATAGTCCAACCCACTGAGCTTCGCTCTGAATCATCAAAAAGCTCGTTTTCCTCCAATTGCGCGGGCGAAGAGCACTTCATCTAGACGCTCCAGACGTTGCCCTGAACCCCGCCCACAACGGACGCAGGCGCATTACGGTGCCTCGAGGACCAATTTCACAGGGCAAGCGCGAAAATAGTTCTCTATAACCACGCCTCCCCAGCTCTGAGTGGGCACGTGTAGAAGCGCGTCTATGCGACTGCTACAGTTTTTTCAGCTTTTTGACTTTTTACCGTTAACGGCCTTGACTGCCCCGAATCCTGCTTAGGTTCATTTCCCCCTATCTCAATGGAAGTCGCTATGTCTAAATAGGAGTTGCCGTTTGGGGTAAAACGCGCTCCTCCCGTTAAGTTACCTTCTGCTCTTAGAAGCGGCAACAGGCCCTGACAGAGGTGAAAAGCAAAATGGTACATCGCAGAGAAGACCTGCAGTCCGCCAACTCGGTCACATGGCAGAGTCACTATTTTAAAAACTCGACCTTGTGCCACACTAAATTCTTCATCATACTCAGGAGTCGTTTTATTTTCGCGTGTCAGGGAGACCAGTACTTCCGTTTCTTTTTAAGGACCTGTCTGTAGTAAGCAACAGCGCATGCGCGCGCCCCCCATGGCTGCCCGGCACGTTGAGTGGCGGAAGTACCGACATGCCCTGCGCCTTCCGGCTGTTGTGGAAGCGGCTTCTGGGCTCGGTGGGGCTGCAATGGGGAAGGTAAATGTGGCCAAGTTGCGTTACATGAGCCGGGATGACTTCAGGGTTCTGACGGCCGTAAGTAGCTCCCCGATTGTCCCGTACCTCCTTCCTTTTCCACCGCGCGTCCTCTTTCTGTTTACTGGGAACTGAGCGCTCTGCCCTGCAACTCGATCTGGATTGGAAATGGGGGAAAAGAGATCGCGGAAGGGGATCAATACAGGCTTTTGTTTGGAAGCTTTGATCCACACCCCACGTAGTGCAAGGGTCCCTCGTGTGCTATTTCTTCCTTTCTGCTACTTTCTTGCCCTGAAGAGCGACACTCTCAGCTCTGTGGCCTGAGAACAGTCTCAGACCCCAGACTTCCTACCTGTTTCGAAGGGTTTAAGAATTCTGAAGAGTTGATAGCTTTAAATTCCCACTCAGGGACTAATCACATGGCATTCCCTTAGGGTCATTCAGTCAACTCATATTTCTACGGTTTTTAGTGACAATTTTAGGCAACGCAGTGATGTACAAAGCAGACAAGACAAAGAAGGCAGATCATTATCAAATAAACGAATAAGCAGGATAATATCAGATAAATGCTGTGAACACATAGAAGACAATGAAATAGAAAGTATGCATGATGGGGAGCTAGGGCACGAATGCTGATTTCACATTTTGTTGTCAGACTGCCTAAGTGCCAGAATTTTGTCTGTTTCCTTTTGTAAGCACATGTATAATGTCTTTTTTAAAAAGGTCCTGGCCTTGGTAGATACAGAATAAATATTTGGTAACTAAAATAAGGTTGAGTAGATAGGGAGTTAATAGGACCTAAATGAGAAGAAGCCTGCCCAGCCACGTACTTGAAGGAGTTGGGAGCACATGAAACAACAGTGTAATAAGTGCAAAGGCCCTGGGGCAGGAGCAGTTTTTGAAGGACTTTCCAGAACGCCAGTGTGACTGGAGCATAGTGAGCAGGAGGCTCAGTGGTTGGAGATATTGCTGGAAAAGGTGAGAGCCAGATCATGTGCTATAAACCTTGTAGGCTTCAAGTGTTTTCCTAGTTTTCTCAGTTTAAAGTCTCAAACTCCTTGGTCTCTATTTCAAGACCCTAACTTACAAGAAAGTGTTTTCAGGCCATCATGAAGTCTACATGTTATCCCATCTGATGCTCCACTATACGAGCTGATACCTGTGCTCTGTGCTTTTCTTCATAGGTGCTATCTTTAAAACTTTTTTCAATTATTTCTCTGACATTCTCTTGTCTGCTTTTTCTGTATTCTGCATTTTTCAAACTAAATCTCAAGTGCTGCTTTTTCCTAGAAATTTTCCCTCATCTAAAAATATTCACGTTCTGCTTCTAGCCAGTCTTTTTTAAGCATTTATCATTTCTTACCTTCTAATAAAATTAGATTTGTATATCCTTATTTCCCCAATGAGATAGTATATTGTCCAGAAGTAGTGTATTTTTACATGTTTCTTACCATCCACAGTGTCTGCATATGGCACTTTCTCAAATATAATCTTTATATGAAATATATGTAGTTTTTAAGGACAAGTATATAGATGTTAATAATATATTTTGCACATCAGTGACTGTTAGCACTCAGAATTTTTACTCTTAAAGTACATATAGTTTAGTGGACAGATGGAGTGGTGAACATCAGTGATTATATATCAAATATGATTTAAAATATGCCCAGAAGAAGTAGTAATTATATCTCAGAATTGGTTGGGAAGCTGCATAGTCAGAGAAGTTAATTTCTTGGCAAGATTTTGATTTTGGCTGTTACAAAATGATTCCTTTCATTTCAGGTTGAAATGGGCATGAAGAACCATGAAATAGTTCCTTGCAGTTTGGTTACTTCTATAGCCAGCCTTAAACATGGTGGCTGTAATAAAGTTTTAAGAGAATTAGTGAAACATAAGCTCATAGCTTGGGAGCGGACTAAAAGTAAGTATTTGAGGCATCATTTGTGATTTTTCCTGTAACTGGCTTCCCCTAGAGATGTTCCAAAAGGCAGGTAGTGGCAATTGTCAGACCAGAAAAGCACTTGACCTGGAAGTGACATACCATATATCCACCATATTCTATTGGTAAGAGCAGTCACATTGCCCACCCAGATCAAAAAGAGTGAGGAAATAGTCTCAGCTTCCTAATAGAAGATTAGCAAGGTCCAATTGCAGAAGAGCAACTATGATAGAGAGATTGTTACTGCCATCTTTGGAGAATACAGTCTGTCACAAAACTAGAAAATTATTTTTCAAACCATCCATGGAAAGGAATATGAGTTTCTTTTTTCAATTTACTGTGAAAACATATTTTTATAAACTAATAAAGAATAATTACTAGAAAAATAAAAATCTTATACACAATTTTTTATTAGGGTTTAAGGTATACTATAATTCAGTCAAATTGATATAAAAATTTCTGGACTTAAACCTTAATTACTTCATTTCAGTTCTATATCTTGTCACAGACTTGTAACAAACATTTATAGACTGATTTCAGTATATGAATCACACTTTAAGTAACACTGTTCTGAAGAAGAAATACAAATTATAGGAAGAAATGCCAACCTAAAATCTTTTCCCATGAAGATTTCCATGTTTAAATTCTTATCATGTCTTGAACTGTTATAACTTGGTACAATGTAACTAAAATATGATCTTTCTCCTTTGATTTTGTCTAGCTGTACAGGGTTATCGACTAACAAATGCAGGCTATGATTATCTAGCTTTGAAAACACTCTCTGCCAGACAAGTGGTTGAGTCTGTTGGTAGCCAAATGGGTGTTGGCAAAGAATCTGGTAAGTGCTAGCAGTACTTCTAATCACATTTTCTTTGGTTTAGTTTGTACTAGAAGACAGTATCTAAAACCCACAAACATTTTTTCACTACAGTCATGTGATCAGGAAGACAAAGCTAGGTATGTGTAGAACATAGAAAAAAGCATTCTGAAATAGTATTGAACAATACTTCTGTATCTATTTTCTATGTGGAAAATAGGTAGAAATAAAAAACAGGGCATGATTTTCTTTATACCATGCCCTCTTGTATACTGCTTTTTATCTCTATTATTACTTTTAATCTAAACTGAGAAGGCAAAATTAAAATTGCAAGTAAAGATATTATTTGGAAGCCTGTCCCAAAGAAGACTGTGGTGGTGCTGTACATGGTTTATATTTCTTTTGTGTTAATATCCAGATCATCATCAAAAAGTAGTGCAAAAGTGCTGCATATAGCTGTGTGTGTGTGTGTGTGTGTGTGTGTGTGTAAAATGAGGTGATTAAACACCTTCTGAGATGATGCTTCCTCTTCATTTTCTGGTGTACATTTTGTAATTTCAAAAATAGTAGCTTTTTTACTTTCAAAAGCTTAATTGCATGCCAAATGTGAATACAATAAAATGTAAGTCTTATTCCTAACCCAGGTCTCAGCCTCCTGTTACTTTCCAAAGCTATCATTGTTTATTGTTCTCTGACATATCCTTCTAGAAATATTTTTTGTTAATACAAATATATAATGCACTAAGGAGATAGACACACACACACATACACACACATCACAGAGTCACAAATTTTGATGGCCAGTGAAACAAACAGTGCTTGCTATTGTGTACTTTGATAGTTTCCACTTGATGGCTCCCTAATGTCAGCAAATACGTCTTTCTCTTAGCTGCCAAGTATAACATTATGTGGATGCTCTGTATTTGATTTTACTAGTCCCATTTGTTTAGGACATTTAAGTTACTCCCCATCTTTTTTTGTGTGTGTGGTAATAATTATGTGAATAACCTTTTACAAATGTCTGTGTGAAGATGTACAAATAAATTTGTAAATACATTCTTAGAAATTGGATTATTAGAGTAAAAATTTGATATTACCACATTTCCCTCCAAAAGTTAGACCAATTTATAACCCCACCAATGCAACAGAGGCTGTTCCTTGATAGAAATGTAATAATTAAAATTTTTCATGAATAATTAAGACATTTTCTAAATGTCAGCGTTGCAAATAGCAACTTGTTTTTGATAGTTGGAGTAGTTCTGGGGAAGTCTCTATTCTGCTTATTATAAGATTATATTCTGAGTATTATTCATTGCAGCAATTGAAGATTTGAACTTTGTGTTATTGAAAAGCAAGATAATAAGAATTCACTTCTCATTTGTAGGGCTCTAAGAAACACTTGGTATTTTTCCATTAAGTTGATTTGAGCATTGAACATCTTTAGAAGCTATAACCTTTAAGACATTGCATTACTGTTCTCTTTTATCGTACATATTATTATGTGTCATCTTTTGGGATCATAATTAAAGAATTTTGCTGAATGTTAAGTATTCCTGAAAATTAGGCAAGATAAAATTGGATACCAATAAAGTCAAAATTAGGAAGTTAAAATTGTTTCAACTTACTGGAATAAAATAATAATTTTTTTTTTTTAACTTTGGACTCTAGATATTTATATTGTTGCAAATGAAGAAGGACAGCAATTTGCGTTAAAACTTCACAGACTGGGAAGAACCTCTTTTCGAAATCTGAAAAACAAGCGTGACTACCATAAACACAGGCATAATATGTCTTGGCTTTATTTATCTCGTCTCTCTGCCATGAAAGAATTTGCCTATATGAAGGTATTTTGTAAATTTTGTATTTTTAATCAAAAATATGTTTATCTGAGAAGCTGTACTGACAAACATCAGTCTGTTGCCACCATATCTCCCCAGCCCCAATCCTTATAGTCACCTTTAACTTTATCGATTATTTCTTTTATTTAATTTTCTGGTGATTTCCTTCTGTGTAAAGGTATTTTAAATTGTTATGAATGCATAAAGACACTATGTATTCTAGAGTATTAATAAGTTAACCTGAAATAATTAATGATGTAAGTGCCTCATAAATGTGTATGTGAATGTATTATCTAGTCAATGCATGTAACTATATAATGTCTATTTCTAATTGAAAATGCCAGGTGATTGTTATCTGTAGTAGAAATATTAGTGTCTCAAATAAGTTGACTAGTATTTTTCTTAAAATAGAAATGTCAATTTACAAATTTGCATATTAGAAATAGTAAAAATCTTTAGTTTTTAACCTTTCACTTTTAAAATTAAAGTCAGCATAGATTTGCTAAATATCTTTAGTAATGACCAAATTAATTATCTTTAGCAATACTAAAGCTCAAAATAACATTGCCTTCTTATTCTCTCTAATACGATTTATTTGTTATGATTTATCTTCACTTTTTGAATTTGAATTATTAAAAGTTGAGTCCATGTATGACCAATTTCTTGGTAATTTTAGTTAGCTAACCTCTTTGAATAGGTTATTTTGTGTGCTTAAATTTTTAGTGATCATTGGGGGGGGATTTCTTGAGGCATATAAATAAGTGATAGCATTGTATATGTAATGTATTTCATGTCTTATACTAATAGTTTGTATCCAGTGATAGTCAATAAGTAGGTATAAGGATCATACTTTTTTTAAAATTGTGTTGGGCTTTTTTCTCCGGGTTTTACATGAAGGTACAGCAATTGTGGTTGTATATAAATATGCTTCTTAAATGAATTGATATTTTTTCTTAAGAGCAATTAAGATAAATTTAAGCTATGGTGGGCCTCCCCGGTGGCGCAGCGGTTGAGTGCTGGGTTGCGAAGCTGCCCGCAGGCTCTGCAGTGCCGGTTCGATCCCCAGCTGCTCCCGGCTACCGGAGGAGGGTCCCACATGGCGCGCAGACCTCTCCTGCCGCCCGCTGCTCCCCTCAGCAGTGTACTCGGTCCTTCTGCCTGCTCTGCTCCCCGCTCTGGCTCTGGTGAATTCTCTCACCCTCCTGTGCTTCTGACTGTACCCGGTGCTTTTATAAATAAAAATAAATCTTTTAAAAAAAAAAATTTAAGCTATGGTACAAGGGCTAGACCACCACTAAGGTTATAGGCTATTGAGGTACCGAGGCATGTTCAAAATCACTTAAATTGAATAAAAAATATCTTTAAAGTTCAATTTCTGTCCAAAGAAGGTAGGGAGTTGACATCCTTTTAAAATTCATCCTATTAATCACTAATGATATATTTAGTATGAGCACTGTGTTTACCACTTTATTGAGAACTAGGGTAGGGTGTGGTGAAGAAGTAGATATCAAAGAAATGCAGTCTGTATCTTAAAAATCAGATCATGTGTTTGGAGAAACGTTTATAGGGTAGACAAATCAATGAAGGAGATTTCATGAAGTAAAGGAGAGTTAAGCAGAGTCATAAAGTATGCATAGGAGATTTGGGTGCAAGGAGAGGACAGTAAGTATACAAGAGAGAAGCCAGTATAGGCAAAGACATGAATATAGGTGTGAACCTTTGTGTAGGTGACAGTCACTAATGTGACTATCCTGATACTACCCCAGAGTGCTTATTAGAGAGTGTTATCAGAGCCTGATCTAGAAAAGTAGATTGAAGGGCATTTTGAAAACTGAAAAAAGGTAATTTGGGCTGAAATCAATATTTACAGCCATTGTAGATTTTTATTTTGTAAGAAGTAGTAACAGGATTTGTAAACAATGGGATAGAAAAAGTTAAAGGGGAAAAGATGGATTCATTGATGATGTGAAATAATATTTGACTCAGACTGTTACATTATGTATGTTTGTCCCTTAATAGATGTATCAGATATTTTGTGGTCTGAATAAAAGGTCAGTGCTCTATAAACAAAAATGTCTAATCGTTTTGTATATTTAATTTCCTAATATGCCAGGACACAGTTTTTCCTAAATTATAATTTATTTCCATTTGAACAGTTTACACTGTTTACGCTCCAAAAAATGGCACAGAAACAAATTAGGATATATTCTAAGAAACCATAGCTTTTTTTTTTTTTTTTTAAGATTTATTTATTTATTTATACAAGCACTGGGCATAGTCAGAAGCACGGGAGGGTGAGAGAATTCACCAGAGCCAGAGCGGGGAGCAGAGCAGGCAGAAGGACCGAAGTACACTGCTGAGGGGAGCAGCGGGGCGGCAGGAGAGGTCTGCGCGCCATGTGGGACCCTCCTCCGGTGGCCGGGGAGCAGCCGGGGATCGAACCGGCGCTGCAGAGGCTGCAGGCAGCTTCGCAACCCAGCGCTCAACCGCTGCACCACCGGGGAGGCCGAAACCATAGCTTTTTGAGGGCAGATACTTCTTCACTAATTTTTTTTATAACATTCACACTGTGCATAATATTTAGCAAATGTCCAATAAATGACTGGTGAAAGTAGTTTAAGTAAACTGGTTTAAGTTTTCCTTTTTTTATATACTGCTCTCTCTATAAGTTACCATACGTAAGTAATCATGTGTTAACTATAATTTTATAATAGATTTTTCCTAATTGTAAGCAGACACATTTACTTTTATTGTTCCCCCAAAATTAATGTCCTCTTCATTTTTTTATACTTGTTTTCCTATGCTTTAGGCACTGCATGAGAGAAAATTTCCAGTTCCAAAGCCAGTTGATTATAATCGCCATGCAGTGGTCATGGAGCTCATAAATGGCTATCCTTTGTAAGTATTTGCTATTCTTGAAACTATGGGTCCTTAATAAATCTAGGTTCTGTTCTTACATAAAAACAATTTTTATTAAACGGCATATTGCTCCTGTGAGGTTAGAAATTAATAAAAAGCAGTTGATGCCAAAGCAAATTAAAAATTCAATTTCATTCTTAAAATATGGACTTTGTAATCTCTGTGAGTTATTCAATAACATTAACAGACTAGTGTGCACCGAGCACTCTCCTAAGTTCAGCAGTAAGTGAAACAAAGCTCTTGTCCACTGATGGTAGGAGACATGCAATAAATAGCTAAATAAAGGAGTGCTTGACATATGGTAGTAAAAGGAGGGAGATAGAAATTATAAGGTGGGAATTGGAGACAGATACTTTACATGCAGTGGTCAGAAAAGGTCTCACTGGTAAGGTGATTTTTTGGGGGGGGGAGGGTGTGCAGAATCCAAAAAGAAATGAGAGACAAAATCATGCATATAGCTAAGAAAGCATTCCAGGCAGAAAGAATAGCACTGCCTAAGTCCTGAGATAAGACTATACCTAGATGTTCAGGGAACAGTGAAGAGGCCACTGTAGCTGAAACTGAATGAGTAAAGGAGAAAGTGTAAGTGACAAGATCAAAGAAGTAACAAGGCACCAGGTCATTTAGGGTTTGTAAGCCATTGTAAGGACTTTTTTATATTTATTTGGTTTAAATGCATTTGATGTAACACATATAAATTTAAGGTATATAATGTTGATGTGATTCATTTATGTATTGTGATATGATTGCCATTTATAGAGAGTTTGCACAAAGATTTTTTATTTTGGTTGAGATAAGAAGCCATAGAGGATTTTGAGTTGAGAAGAGACATGATCTCTGACTAAGGTTTTCAGTTGGATCACTCTGGCTGCTGTATTGAAAACAGACTGGAAGGAGACAAGGACAGAATAAGGAAGACAAGTTAGTAGATTACTGTAATAATCTGTGTAGGAGATGAGGATAGTTTAGATAATGAAAGACATGAAGGTGATAAAAGGTTGTCAGATTCTGGATATATTTTGTTGATGGGGCTAATATGATTTGTTTGGAATTCTGTATTGATCAGAAGGAAGGGCAGGTCAAGGATAACACCAAGTTTTTTTTAGCCTGAATAGTGAATTAATTGGAGGAATTAAGTTGCCATTTACAGAAATTGGAAAGACTATAGGATGAGCAGGTTGGAATTAGATGGTAAGGCAAAATCAGAGGTTCAGTTTGGGACATGATGTTTGAGATGCCTAGAAATTTGAGAAAAGTCTAGATTGAAATCAGTGTGTATATTAGTGTTTAAACCTGTGAGTCTAGGTGAGGTCACTAAGAGTTATTCTCAAAAGGTCCTAGGATTGATCTTCAAGGAGCTCCAAAATTTGCAGGTCTGAAAGAAGATGAAGAACTCTTCAAAAATTCTGAGACGAAATAATCAGTGCATAAAAAGGATGGACTGAAGATTTGGGGTACCAGGAGTCAAGTGAAGGAAGAACTTAAGGAGTACTGAGATAGACTGGATATGGTGAGGATAGAATTGACTGCTGGATTAGTAACACAGAGGTCATTGCTTGGATTGACGAGTTATTTCATTGGGACAGATGGTTGAAAGCTTGCTTGGAATGGGGAAAAAAATGGAGAAAGCACATGAAGGGGAGTTTGATTGTAATTATCAAAGAAAAAATATGGTAGTAAAAATCTGAGGCAGAGTGTGACTTTTTTTAACGGGTGGGTACTTTTATATCATGTTTTTATGCTGATGGGAATGAAAACTGTTAAGACAAGGAATGAAAATTTTATACACACACAGTAGTTTTCATTAAAATTATGAGTACAAATAGTTTATTTCATACTTAAAATACTTTCAGGTGTCAGATACACCATGTTGAAGATCCTGCATCAGTATATGATGAAGCTATGGAACTAATAGTCAAACTTGCAAATCATGGACTGATTCATGGAGATTTCAATGAATTCAATCTCATTTTGGATAAAGATGACCACATCACAATGATTGATTTTCCACAGATGGTTTCAACTTCTCATCCCAATGCTGAATGGTATATGCTGAAACTAATTCTAGATTTGAGTGTGTTTATGTGATGCAATCATTTTATTCATAGTTTTTCAACTCTGTAATACTGTCTTTTGGTCAGTAACTCTTGTAATCTGACAGACTTCCAAAACTCAAACTTTCTTAGCCTTGCAACTCTTTATTCAAATAATTTTTAGGTAGAAGCCCAATTTTTAAAACAAAGGCTGAATCAGAAGTAGATACATAAAGAGAACCCTAGAACCCCATCCTCTCTGCCTTCCTCCTTTTTTTCTCCGCTTCATGGTTACATCCAAAAGAACTTGACCAAGCAAAATTTGATATCTTGTTGACCTTAATGAAAGTTGTGGTTTTGAATTGCGCTCAAGTTGTCAGATCATCTTTAGGTTTTATTTTATTATTAGAAAATAATTCACCAAAAAACCCTCATCCTTTACACAAGGAAGAATCACTTTATTTACTGATTAACCAAGTTGAGAAATCGTACCTTTGGCTTTGTTTTCTGTGATTCAATTGGTTATAATCCAGGGCATATTTCTCTCCTGTTCCAAATCATAATATGAAAATCTTCCCCTTTTCCCTAAAATAATAACTATTATTGCTTACATAATAGAATATATTCATTCTTCAAAGTTTGAACTCAAATCAGTTTGTGTTCAGTGAAGCTCTTCTTCCTTTTGATTTTCATTGAAAAATATCTACTTATTCTAGAGAGAGAAATGTCATTTAAAAATAAATTTAAGCAATATTTCCAACAAAACAATACTGATAGATTAATGCCTGGACTTTTGGTCTCATATCTTTGGGTGATGACTAATCACTATTTTTATTAAAATGGAGTGGCATAGTCATACTGTAAATGAACATCCTGGAACCACTAGAATTAGAAATGACATTTTCCAAGTTTGAGCTGCATTATTCTATAGGGAGACATGAGTTAACTTGAAAAATACTGTTCATAATGAGGGGAAATCTTGAGTTTTTTATCTTAGGAATTATATGATTTTAATAGCTTATATTCCTGGTTAATTCCTCTGATTTTAACTTTTCAAAACACACTGGTAACTAATCTGCTTTTTCTTTTTTAGTGATGTCTTTTTTTTTTTTTTTTTTTTTTTTCATGAAGGAGTAGGAGTGTCATAACAAACAATAAAGATGTTGTCATTCATTGGCTAATGAGGAAAAAGATGAACAAAGGCTATATCAAAAATGATTCTTGCTTTTGCAGGTATTTTGACAGAGATGTTAAATGCATTAGAGATTTCTTCATGAAACGTTTCAGCTATGAAAGTGAGCTTTATCCAACCTTTAGTGACATCAGGTTTGTACTCTTCATTACTTAAAATGATAGAACTCCAGGTATCTAATTTCACTTTTTTTCAAATTTCTGTCTAAAAGTGTTTGAAGAGTGACGTTTGACACATTATAATCACTGCTACCATTGCAGTATAGTATGTAAAAGAAAGTTAAAATACCTGCCTTTGGTTCAGTAAGGCAATGTTACTAAATTTGGGAAAGGAACACCCCTAATTTCTTATAAATACAAGGACCTTTATTCATTATTGGGTGCTCTGTAAATAACCCATTTGGGTTTTTTTGTTTGTTTGTTTGTTTGTTTTTAAGATTTTTTTATTTATTCATTTACACAAACACTGGGTACAGTCAGAACCACGGGAGGGTGAGAGAATTCACCAGAGACAGAGCAGGGAGCAGAACAGGCAGACTGAGGAAGTACACTGCTGAGGGGAGTAGTGGGCGTGGCAGAAGAGGTCTGCGCACCATGTGGGACCCTCCCCTGCGGCCGCAGGTGCTGCAGAGACTGCGGGCAGCTTCGCAGCCCTGCACTCAACCACTGCGCCACCAGGGGAGGCCCTGTAAATAACCCATTTGTAAGGAACCAAACCAGTCTGCTTTTCCTTTGTTTCCTTTATTCAGAAAAGAAGCTATCTTTAATTGACTCACAATGGTGATAGGTACATTCTTAATGCCAAGTTTTCTCATTTATATACTTACGATTGTTTCCTGATTTGAGGTAATTTACGTAATTTAAAAGAAGAAATCCTTAGTCCCCTTAGAAGTTAATTTAAGTCAATTATCAACCAAATTATCAACCAAAGTTTCACTAACCTTTCCACCAATGCATGTAGCTTTTTACAGTCATGCTATTTTATTTTTTAATAATATACAATACTTTTACATTTCTATACTGAAGTAATTTAATCATTATATTTTAGGCAGAGAAAATCTTTAAAAGATATAAATGATGAGGGCCTCCCCGGTGGCGCAGCGGTTGAGCGCTGGGTTGCGAAGCTGCCCGCAGCCTCTGCGGTGCGGGTTCGATTCCCGGCTGCTCCCTGACCACCAGAGGAGGGTCCCACATGGCATGCAGACCTCTCCTGCCGCCCGCTGCTCCCCTCAGCAGTGTACTTCGGTCCTTCTGCCTGCTCTGCTCCCCGCTCTGGCTCTGGTGAATTCTCTCACCCTCCCGCGCTTCTGACTGTACCCAGTGCATGTATAAACAAAACAAACAAACAAACAAACAAATAAATAAATAAAACATGCCTCTATTTAAAAAAAAAAAAAGACTATTCTATTAAAAAAAAAGATATAAATGATGAAATACACTTAAGCTAATAACTTACCAGAATAATAATATTTATTCATGTCAGATGGATTTTTACCTCTCTGAATTCTAGACATTCTTTTTTCCTAGGAGAGAGGACTCTCTTGATATAGAGGTTTCTGCCAGTGGTTACACAAAAGAAATGCAGGCAGATGATGAACTGCTTCATCCAGTTGGTCCAAATGATAAAAATGAAACAGAGGAGGGATCTGAATTCTCATTTTCTGATGAAGAGTTGTCAGAAAAAGCAAAGGTTTATAGATCGGACAATGAAAGTGAACAAAACTCTATAGATCAATCAGCTGACTGCCATTGCATATCATCTGGAGACCTTGAACAAATAAAGGAAGATGATTTGTCAGAGGAGAGTGCTGATGCACAGAACTTTAAAATGACTGGATTCAATCAAGCTTTAGAAGAAATAAAAGATCAGGTGGTTAAAAATAATTCTGTAACTGAATTTTCTGAGAAGATAAAGAAAACTGGAAATGACATCAGGCAAGATGATCAGACAGGTCAAGGAGTAATCCCTACAAGTTCTGAAGAATATGAAGATGAATGTCCTCATCTGATTGCCTTGTAAGTAAACAATGAATCCAGGTCTAGCAGCTATAGATTTCTATTGATTGATTTTTTTACTTTAATCTGGAGACCTTCATTTCTGGTAAAAGTGTTTTTTTGGTTTTTGGATTTTTCCCAAATGATGTGACAGAGCTGTACCCTGCACTTTATATCCAAAATAAAAACAAATAATCTTTGTGTTAAAATTCAAATCATTGGGGCCTCCCTGGTGGTGCAAGGGGTTTAAGTCTCAGCATTATCAAACTATGTATGGCCAGCCACTATGGCATGAGTTTGATCCCCAGTCAGGGAACTGACCCATATATGGTGCAGCAGACCTCTTGTCTCGCCTGCTGCTCCCCTCGGCAGTGTATTTCAGTAGATCCTCCTGTTCTGCTCCCCACTCTGCCTCTGGTGAATCCTGTCACCACCACCACCCCCCAGCATTTCTGACCTAGACTCCAGTTCTTGATTGCGTAAATAAATTTAAAGAAAAAAAAAACTTAATAAATAAAATTCAAATTATCTTCTACAACTGACCAGATCATGGATAGCCTATTGATTAAATTTTAAGCAGTCCTACCTTAAAATACAAACTGCTGATTAATTTCAAAGAATATAGGTTTCTTGACAAATTGATCAGGTTTTAGATAGGGGAGTTGTTCCTGTAGTTTTGTAATTATGCATCTAACATATAGCCCAATAAATATATTGTAAATATATTCTCCATAAAGTATCTGCTTGCAGTGAATACTCTCTGGTACTTTAAATATTCTGTCCTTATTCACATACAGGTAATAATAGTTAATGTTATGTCATTTTTTTTCTAAGAATATTTTTTTCTTATCAATACTAAAATCCACCCTCAGCTTAGATTAGCAAAATATCTAAAATTTAATTTTTTGGATTTGGGATAGCTTACCCAGGATCAAACAGCTGTAGTTTAATTAGGTTTTCAGTAAAGGCGTATATGACAATTAAATAAGCAATACATTTTTACATTTCTCAATACTTTTCCAAACTTACATGCTCAGGCTACTTTTATCTGTAGAGTTTTATTGTAAAGCAAAACATGGGAATTTTATTCCCTTTTTCATACAGCTTTTATCTTGAATCTTTGCACTACTACCACTTGAACAGTAAACATGTAAAAATTAAAATCAACGTTGGTAGTGTCTCAGCATTTTCTGTATTATAAGAAAATCTACATAGGTTAACTAGTCTTCTCAACACAGAATAATTTGTTCTGACCCTGAACACGTGTTCAGTAAGGTTTTTATTCACAGTAGGAACATAAAAGAACAAATGCTGTTTAAAAATACAGACTTTTGGAGTTAATATTGTCTGAATTTCTTATACATTGTATACATTAAAACTTTGAGCAATGTGTAAAGTAAGTTAGACCGGTTTCATGTTTGCAGTTTTTTCTGACTTCACAGAGCAGACTGTGGAGACTACTGTCTGTTCCCATCAAATATACTACTGTTTGGGACAGTGGCAAAAGGTGTTCCAAGAATCTGCATGATGAGAAGCAGATTTGTGTAATTCAATGAGGAAGAAGATTACTAGAAAAGAGGCATATGAATTGTGGGAAAGTGATCAATTTTGATTACTAAAAAGCACGCTAACATTTTGAAATTTTGATAGTGACTATCAGAATGCTTAGAAATGAAAATTGTTGATATATTTGGTAAAATTTGTATACAGTTTTACTTTTTCCTTCACAGAAGCTTTAATCTCTCTGAGGTATTTTATCTTTTAAGCTTTACTATCATGAAGGTATATAAATTAGACATAATCATAAAAATTGACTGAGATAAATTGTAATTTTGTTTTAATTTTAGAGAAGAAGAAAATATGGAAAATACTAATCAATGTCGAACAAGAACTCTGAGTGTTACTTCTATGGGCAGTGTATTAAGCTGTTCAACAATTCCTCCGGTAACTATTCATTCAGCAATTTCCAAATGTTTATTAAGTCACTACTGTGGACAGATTACTGAGCTTTAAGGCACTATGAGGATTGCATGATATGAAACAGCCTCAACCATTTGAATCCTATGTGTGAATAGTACAAAATTGCAGCAGGTATAGATGTAGTGTTAGTGTTTGCTCTTTAAGTGGAATGATCCAAGCTTTCAAGGAAAAAGCAACATGTGACTTAGCTTAAACTTGAAAGATATAAAAAAAAAATTTAGAACAAAGGGTAACTTTGTTGATTTTCATGAGGTCTAGTACAAGCGTTAGAGAGATGAAGAAATTGAGATCCAGATATGTTACCCATAATGAACAGCTTACAGCTGAAATGTGAAAATGCATCAGTTTCACTAGCTAGCTAGATCTTAGATTTTGAAAGAGAAAATGAGGCACTTTTAAAATTTAGATCTTGTTGTACATTTGGCAGCCATGGCTAAATGAATTTCATAAGGAACATTTTCTAGGCAGCATAATCAGTCTACCTCCAACCAAGGAGGTTTTCTGCCAGTCAGCTCCTCACTAGGCCACCCAGGAGGAAGAATCAGCTTGTTTCCTTTTGTAGGTTGTACAGAGAGATCAAATTACTTAACTGGCGTTTTGGGTTTTTGCCTTCTACTTCAAGGTATTAAGTTGAATACCATTGTAACCAATTTTCACTGGTAACTTAAAATGAGCAAAAGAAGAAAATAACTTTTGAATGTGGAAAAGAGAAAAATAAAATTACGTGGAAAGTAAATTCAAAAGAACAGGGGACTTGGTTTTTTCCTGAATTTCCTATTTCTCCTTTAGAAATACTGTCAGTAAGTTAAAATGTATGTCCTGTGGTAAATATGAGATATTTACCAAGTTAAATTAGAATTATCAAAAGCAAGCTAAAAATAACATCTGTTTTTAGAATTTCTGTGAGCTATACTTGACAATAAAAAGTTTGTTGAAGTGCTTTTTATCTACTATAGTGATTAAAAATATCAATTGCATATTTAAAAGATAATCACTAATTCATTTTTAAGTGATAAAAGCTTTTAAAAAGTAATTTCCCACTGAAAAGCTATACCTACTTTTACCTAGCAGCTTTTGTTGATTTTTGTTTTGATTTTTTTTTATTTTTTTCCAGTTTTCCTGATGGACACTAGGTGGCACTGTTGTTATTTGTTAGTCCAAGAATTGTGACTGGATTACTTTTGCTCTAACTTGTATTCCTATAGGAATTTAATTTCTTCTTTGTAACTATTATTTGGTATTTTATTGCTTGTTCATACAGAACTCTCAGTGTTTAGAATTTAAAATTCAAGATCTTTAAAAAAGTATCAGTAATATAAATAATGTAAATCTTTGATTAAATATCCTTGTCAAAATGGTCAGTTATCAATGATAGTAATTCATGAAATCTTTCCAGGAACTGGTGAAACAGAAGGTGAAACGTCAGTTGACAAAACAACAAAAATCAGCTATCAGACGTCGACTGCAAAAAGGAGAAGCAAATATATTTACCAAACAGCGGAGAGAAAACATGCAAAATATTAAATCAAGCTTGGAGGCAGCTAGCTTTTGGGGAGAATAATATATCTACAGTCTTAAATAATGTCTGTATATTGTTCAAAAAGTTGTTATGATCCCTTTTTAAACTTCTTTAAAGTCTCTTTTTGAACCAGGGCAGTTATGTAAACTATTTCATCTGTAAATTTGACTCATTCATTGTTTCTTCTAAAGAATAATTGTAAGGCCTCCCTGGTGGTACAGGGGGCTAAGCATCAGCACTGTGAAGCTGTCCCCAACTACTGCAGCACTAGTTCAATCCCCAGCCAAGGAAGGTGACCCACATGGTGCAGCAGACCTCTCCTGTCTCACCTGTTGCTCCCCTCAGCAGTGTATTTTAGTCAATCCACCTGTTCTGCTCTCCACTTTGTCTCTGGTGAATCCTCTCACCACCCACACCTCTGGCCTGTACCCGAGCTCTTGTATGCATCAATAAATCTTTAAAAAAATAAAGAATAATTATAATAATTCTGCTAAAGCAATCCAGTTTTCCAAGTAATTATATGACTGGTAAATTTGCTAAAATCTATTTTTAAAAATAGTTTTATTAGGAACATTTGATATTTAAAGATCTTAATACCATATTTCTATTAAAGAGATTGCTTAATTTGAAGTATCAGCTTTCCCACTATTTCTCCTCTGTTCACAGTTCTCTTGTTTTAAAGAACATGAGAAAATGCTCAGAAATCATTTAGAACATTGCCCAGCCTAATGTAAACAGCCAGTAAAATACAGCAATTGTAATAATATTTATCTTTTCTGAAATTTTGCTGACAACTTGGTTGCTGCACTTTTTTAACTGTATGCATAATTTTATTTTCTGCTATTTATATTGATAATGTGGCCATAGGAACAGGAATTTGAGTCCCATCAGGATTTTTACAGTTGCCAATTTTCATGTAAACCTGAGCCATGAAGAGTTAAGGGTTAAGGGAGGTAGTAGAAGGAATAGACAAAAGAAATGCCCTATTATTCCTAGCTGGGTAGGTCCAAAATATGTTCATTTCAGCATGGACACATAACTTACTGAGTAAGGAAAGAAAGAAAATACATGGTTCTATCTCCAAGATTTTATAATCCAGTGAGATATGATGGGTGCGTAAGTATGTATACCTCAAAGTATTCAAGTTTCTTCAACATTTGGAATCCAGGACAGTTAACAGTGCCTGTGAAAAATGACCACCAGATGGCAGTGTCACCCCACAGTCACCAGACGGCATTCTTAAATAACTTGGGTTGGTGATTAGATCTACCAGAGAAGATACAGGCAGAGATTTTTCCAAGATACATAAAGGCAGCAGATTTCCTTTCAACCTCTAAAAATTAATTCTGACTACTTGCAGGACCTATCATTACCTAATAAATTCACTTTAAAAATACAGGTGCAAAAAAAGGCCAAACACAATGCCCTTGAAAATTAACTTACACCAATTTTGGAAATAGGTAGTTTTAAATTTTAGGTATGTTTGTAAACTCAGGTTTTCATTTCTTATAATATCTACTTTAAAGCATTTTGATAACAGCTTAATAGACCCACAGGATGTTCATCTTAGAATGTATTTTATTTCACTGTCAAAGTATTTGGGAAGGAAACTGTGACCAATTCTACTCAGCTTTACTCAGTGAACACTTTGGGTACCAACTATATGTATGTGAAAAGCATATTACTGTTTGAGGTCTTAAGAAAGCAAGTCTTACCTTGTGGGTCACAGAACAAATTATTCAAATGTACAAATCTGAGCAATTATTTAGCTTACAAAATAAAGTCTAACCTTTTGGGATAATGATTAGTGCTAGCTACTAAAGATTTAGTAATAAATGATCTGGTAAGGGTTTAATTTTTTCTGAGTTACATCATTGGTGCTCAAAGGAAAGGTTACTAACTGAAGCTCAAGATAATTCTTTTAGCCAAGTACTCAGTAAATTTTCTGACAAAATAGTTGCCTCGTTAACTCAGCATATAAACCTGCTGCCTACATGTTTATCACTCACTTCTCCAGGATGGAAGGATGAGTTTAGTAGGTGCTCTGTAAGAGCACTTCCTCACACCGGTCTCTGGGACAGAGGGTCATTTCATCATCAGATTCAAACCCTTGGGGGGATGAAGGCTTACTATCTTCATTGTTCTTCATCCCTCAGAAGTTTGACCCTGATTTGCTTTCTGCAGTACTAAAGCCATCTTATGCAACAGTATAGGGCTGAGGTAGAGGTCAAGTTCAGGATAACCATGAGTGACACATAACCATGAGCATGGAAGTAACTCCAAAGCTTTTACAATATTTGCAAAGACTGATATTATTTCATTTTAAAGATAAATTTTTCTTCTACCTTAATACCGTAAATAATGATGTCAAAATTGATATTTTATATAACATTTAGAATTAGATTATTGTTGACTTGGTTCCATAAGTAGGAGCATATCTCATAATACTAATAATACATATTAATGGGAATGTATATCATAACACTACCTGCTTCCATTTAAAAAAAAAAACCACTTGAACTAAATTTTTTTTTTAAATGCTTACGATAAACTTTCAGTGGGTATAAGAGGCTTAACTTACTTTTAGGGGAAAAAAAATACATGTTCACACATCAGTTTCCAATTGTTTGGTATCATATGAATGATATCAGGAGGAAGTACACGAATGTCTAAGAGAATTTCTGCTAGCTGAAAGTGTCCTCTATTTGGAGAGATGAGAATAAAGACACACAGTTACAAAGCAGACTACTAAAGAGCCTGGCATCATTGAGGCATGCTGAGGAAATTCCAAGTACTGTGGATGAGTAGAAGGCCAGAGTGATTTGGTGAATTTTTGAGAGAGAAGGAGGATTTGGTTGAATAGGTAGACTGAAAAAGAGAGAGATTGTAAAGAGGAAATCATGCATAAAATCTGAAAGCCAGCAATGAATGTAGTACCCTCATTATGCTGTAGTTGGGAAAATAGTGTTTGTTTAGCAAAGGACAAACTAAAGAGGAATTTGAATTTTTTTTAAGTCCAACTTGACTTATTAGGAAAAGGAATAATTGTAGGTTTTTAAGAAGGGCAGTAATTTGATTTTAAAAGGAGGAAAGGGTAGAACAAAGGGAACTTTGCCAGTGTTGGAATAAATTGAAGGGACCTGGAAAGAATCTTAGTTTGTTTCTACAGTGTCCTAAGTATTAAGGTTAAGAAAACCTGGAATCAAATATTCTTATATCATGCAAGTGTTTTAGGGATTCTTTGTTGTTTTTATTTTAGGGCTAAGTAAACACTTTTACTGTTAAATTGCTTGCCCAAAGTCACATTGAGTGAGTACAATTGAGGGTGAGTAGAGGAAAACAAACTTTGTGTTGAGCCCAATGGTTTCTTCTGCAAATTCACTAGGGACCATGACCTTTGACTTGTCTTTCTGGTACTGTAGACGTGTGAGAGAAGACAGTACTCACAATCTCACAAGAGGTCCAAGTTAAAAGTCCTATCCTCCAGAAAGTTTTCTCCCCTTTTAGAAAATAATGACTTTCGTGCATCCCTGGTGGCGCAAGGGGTTAAGATACAACCTATGAAACTATCCACAGCCACTGCAGCCTGAGTTCAATCCCCGGCCAGGCCAGGGAACAACCCGCATGGTACAGCAGACCTCTCCTGACTAGCCCGCTGCTCCCCTTAGCAATGTGTTTCAGTCAGTCTGCCCGTTCTGTTCCCCTCTGTCTCTGGTGAATCCTTTCACCCCCCACACCGCTGGCCTGTACCCCAGTTCTTGTATGCATAAATAAATCTTAAAAAAAGAAAAGAAAACAATGACTTTCCCATAAGTCTTTTCATCTCACAAACCCAAGAAAACCCATATCCACAGATGAAAGTCCTAACTGGAACTTTTCTAATTTTTCATGGGCAAATTGGATGGCAGCAGAATGGTTGGCCTTGGAGAAGTTTTTTTTCCTTGAACTCAAGGCTACTGAGTTACCTTAAGAAGATAAGAATATATTACCCTCTAACCTGGTCTTTCTTCAGTTTCAATTTGTGGGGGGAAAAAAAGTCCCAGCCCTCTTTTTATAGTTTCTTATTTCTCCTTTAAACAAATTTTCAAAAGAAATAATGTTTCTTCTGTGTCAGCAAGATGCATGCTAAATGCAGTGCTCTGGTTGGGGCTGCATAGGAAGTAAAATGGAAATTATAGTTTACAGTGTGAAATGGATGGGCACAGGCTTTTATCTTAATGTAAGCATATCCAGAAATGTGGCCTGAATTGAATTAAGAGTATACTAATGATGCAGTCTTTACAGGAAGCTCCATCTAAAATATATGGAGCTGTGAAATTACTGGCTTGCTTGAACCTAATATCTCCATCAGCTAGCTAACCTCCGGTTTAAGTTATTTGTTTATAACCAATCAACATTCTCCCTGGGTTTGTTTTAATCTAATAATAATTTTTTTTCATTCTTTATCTGCTCACTAATGTTGCAAAGATTTCAACATCTCATTCAACTCATATCCCCAGAAACATTACTTTAGCTAAAGAAGAAAAGGTAGTTCCAGTTAGCCCGTGCAGACTGGGTGTGTGTCTCCTCCACAGCAAGTCCAATGAAGACTGACTCAGTCTCAGCTGGAGTTTCCATGCCTTCTCAGGATCAGTCTGATCACTTGATAGCCACAATTTGTGTAGTTTTCTCCTGACTACCCAACATAATAAATTCCTGTCCTAAATAGGGGGAGTGGGGAGAGGGGGAGATTTTTGTGGTAAAATGTGGGGAGAGGGAGAGGCATAAACAATTAGATTAACGTTTATGAAAATGTAAAGGTTGCTGGCTAAATCCACTCCAAAATCAAAACAAAAAAATTTAAACTATCCTTTTCAAAATACACACATATTACGCTGGAAGTCAGCCAGTTACACTTAAGGTAATCAGTTCAGCTTTCACAAAACACATATCTAGTGACCCTAGAGTTTGGTGTCCTTATCTCCAATCTTACACATCTGAGCATCCAAATTCTCCCACTTTTACATAACTGACTTTATCCTGGAAGTGTAGGCCCAGGAACTAGCAAAGCCTCCCTCAAGGATCTCTTTTGTCTCTAGAGTATTTCTTAAAGAATCAATGTTATTTCCCTTGGAGATCAACCAATACAAGGCTAAATAACAGAGCACATAAAACAATCCAAGATGACATGGGCTCAGGGAGATTGGATTCTCAGGTAAAGGGGTCAACTGCATGGTAGAAAATAGAAACCAGGCTTTGGGTGGCAATCATAATGCTGTATACCTGAGTTCTATACAGTGGAATAAGTCAATGTTCAATAAATTTTTTTTAATTACCCCATGAAAAGAAAACCATTAAAAAAATAATAAAGATGATTGGGGCACATTCAGGATGTCAGAGAGAGAGGTATGTGTTTGTATGTGTCCTAGATAAATGAGAGATTTGCTTTCAAAGTGTTTGCTGTTTAAGAGTGTTAGCTCTGCTCAGGAAAATAAGGGGCAGTTTACTAGTGGCTTTATCTGCATGGGGGGTATTATTTTAGAAAAGCATTTTTCATAATTTTCTATGAAAGTGAAACATATTTCTGTAATCTCTAAATGAGATAAAATCAGTTTCATATTTGTTCATGTAGTTCAACAGATTAATACTTATTGATGATTTCCTAATTGTAATGAAATACCAATGAACAAATGTCCAAGATCAAGTTTTTACGTAGCCTGCGATTTTAAATTTCTTTTGTCTAATAATCTGAAGTTGCCTTTCTAATTGACCCGCTCTTAAATACATTGATTAAAACATCTCTTTGGTCCTTTCTTAGTTGAGAGTAAACAAAGTAACAATGAGCAACCATTCCATTCCTTTGACTTGTTCCTTCCCTGTCAAGAGTTGATGTTACCCAGCCATTTATTTCTCCCACTGGTCTCTTCCTATTTGAGGTTAAACAAAGCTGACACTGAACAGTCATTAGCCAGTCATTACCGCTGCAAATTCCATTTCTTCTTGGCCATTTTCCCTCCCACAAATGCCCCAGGCAGCTCTGGCCCTTCCCATGCCCCCTACCCAACTCCCATTGGAATCTGGAAGGACATGATGTCAGTCATTTCCCATTGTTTTTATAAACTATTTGCTCTCTCTTTTAATCCATTTAGTTACATGACTCCAACTAGCTGTCCTTTATTTACTCTATCTTAAATTATACATTTTTAAGAATTGAGGCATTAGCAAGTAAACAAAGAAATTATTTCAGGAAAAATAACTTTCCTGAAACTCAATCAATATCTGTTCCCTTCCACAATCACCTGATTCTCTAGAGATGAGTGGTTATATATTGATTCGCTCAGGCCCGATTACTGCAGATTTAGTCTTTGGTGTCCACATGTCTTGTTCTGAAAACTTTCAAGACTGGCGTCTCAGCAATTTCACTGCAGCTTCCCCATCATTACCACTCTCTTGCTTTACCTACCCTAGCCTCTTCTGAACATAGCAGATTATGTTGTGGGGAGTCCAGGAGGATATTGGAGGCTCCTTCCTGCTGTTAACTAAAGATGATTCTTTGATGCATTGGTTATGTTTTCTGACAATCTGGAGTTTATTTCAATTGGTGACTCCCATCTTTTTATCATTTGTGTACCTGTAAGGAACCGTTTAACAGCAAAAATGTTATGAGGATGCCTTTCTCCCTAACAATAGGAATGAGTTTTCTTTCCCTTATCAGAAAAAAATCATTGCCATAGACATTTTTGTCTCATTGTGCATAAAATGGTGCAAAATACTGACCTTGATTTGACATATTCTCAGAGGTCTCTGTATTCCCTGGGGCTTGGACTGTGTGCTATTACATGAGCCTTTCTATTTCCCCAAACTCTCTATACTTGGTATTAGTCTGATAAGAATTATGAAAACATCATTTTGGTTTTCATCATAGTCATCTGCCGTTGTTTCAATTCTTTAATTTTTCTGCTAGCATTTGCCTCAGGTGGTTGTGGTTGACAGTGAAATCTAACATGTGAACTATATAGCATCTGCACTAAAAATAGACACATGGCACAGGGGTTTTTCAGACTCTTCCATTTCTATATCAAAAGAGAATAGTGAGAAACCAGCTAGTTGTTTTTCTAGAGCAAAAGACTTTGAAGAGGAGAAATCGTTGTGGGCAGAGAAGAAAAAAATACATAAGCCAGGGTTTTAAAAAACATCTACTAAAAGATGAAGCTTAATGGGAAAGAAGAAATTATAACTATTCAAATGAGAGCTTGTAAAATCCACCTTTCTAGAATTCTCTTTTCATTTCTTAAAGTATAATTCATTAAAGATTATGTTATTTTTGTGAAATTATCTTGGCAAAGTTGTCTTGGGGGTTTCTAAGAAGATGCTCAGTTTACCACTTTTATAAAAAAGTCTTGTGAAGGTTGAAAATTAGTTTTCTTAACACATTCATATCTTTCATTTTAGTTACTAGCATTGGTGTGAGTATATTTGAATTTATCCTATTTCTTTGTGTCTCTTGTATTAATAAAAGGATATGAAATTATAGGAATACAAGTGATTTGTTTGAAGACCAGTTCAGCTTTTAGGAAATAAATGCATGACTACCCCAAAGATTAAAAAAGTCTTAATAGGACATTTATTTTACATGGGAAAAATTATTTGGAATAATAAAGCAGGAACTTTTCCTGAAGTTGCAATTTGAAAAAAAAGTTTTGATAATATCTTTGCTTATTTGTAATATAACCACAGGATCGTAGAAGCTAGATCTAAAAGAGACCATTTAGTTCAACCCCCTAGTTTTGTAGCTGAGATCTCTGAGCCCAGCAAAGACAAGTGACTTCCTCTAAGTTAGACACATAACAAAAATTGAATTCCAAGTCTTACTAATTCCAAATTCAGTGCTCCCTACACTACTTTACACAACGAAAATATTTCTATGTACTACTTGAATTAAATTTAATACCATATAAAGGCCCATTTGTTGATTGAAATCGCAGCCTCAATCATTTCTTTTTTTTCCTGTGTTTTATATTATCAGCCTCACTCCTTTAAAAATTCTATATTACTTTTCCTGTTTCTGTATCAAAAATCTTGAACATCTTGGCTTCCAATTCAATATCACACAGAAAATACTCATTTATTTGCACTTTGTGACCAGTCAATGTATAATAGTTTCTGTCCATAGAATGTCTAGTTTCTGTTTTAAATTATAAACTCTTAGATGGCGAGGACACAGGCAATTTCCCATTCTGAACAACCCATGAAAGCACACATTGGGACCCTAAACAAGTATCTTAACATGAAGTGCTACTACGTTCAAGTTCTTTTTTACAATACTATCCGTACTGCACAGCTCTGTGTCTCTGTCGTGTGTGGCACACACTTCCTGTGGGCGCTTGCTAAGTGTGGTCATTATAATAGGAATTACTACTGCAGCTCTGTTCCTTCTGTTTCCTTTTATTAAGCTCACCCTCCTACCAACGAGCTGGAGAAGCTTATCACATGGAAAACATTTATTTTTATATAATCTTTAAAGGACTGGTTTCACTTAATCACATAATGCAACATAATTATGGAATCTAGAATGTGGAAAGAATCTCTTGTGCCTAGCCTTGAACAATATTTTTCTAAAAAATAAAGAAGTTCTCAATAACCCTTCCACATAGGTTACAGTCATTAAATCAGTTCTTTTGTCTCTGACAGAATCCTTATTACTTCAATGGATTACCATGACTTATATTTCTGTCTCCTGTGGAAAAACATTTAGCATTGTTGTGAGTCGTGTAGCACATTGGTTAAAAAAAAAAAAAAAGCTGTTTTCTTAAGATCTTTTAATGGCCACTATATTCTTTTGCTAAGTTTTTGTTTGTTTGTTTTGCTTCTCCTGAAATTTTTAACAGAGAGGAATAACATAAAATGAGAGCGAGGAGTGCATGATATCAGAATTAAAAGTCAATCTTGGGAATGATTAGTCTTGAAGAGTAAATAGGGAAGGAAGTATCCCCAGGCAAGTTGTAAGTGTCCCGGATTTGACTTGCTGATACCTCTCAAATATGACTATAATGGGGGGGGGAGGGGCTTACAACCAGGTTCCCAAAAAAGATGCTCCTGGATTCAAATAGAAGTGACCCTTTGATGCCTGCCTGAATCCACAATCTTTATAGCTCTTCTTTATCAAGAAAGAATTAAGTTACTCTGATTATGAGCCTGAAGTCCAGAGCTGGAAACTCCTTTGTTACTATGGAAATTTCCTTGAGAAACAACCTTCTTGATTCTAGGTAGTTGGGGGCAGCACAGTTGAAATTGAGGGACCAGAAGAAATAGCCACGTCAGAAAGCTGCACACCATTCAGGCAAAATTTGGTTGGAGAGGAAAGCTATCCCATGATTCCGGAACTTCCCCAACTAGCCTGTAGGTGGGTGTGTTTAACAGAAGGAAGCAATGGGAATTCGCCTGTCAGCCAGCCTTTAGAGCTAATTAGCTCAGCATACAACAAAGATAAGTGAGCCTAGGAGGAGGGGCCCCTGTGGGGTCTTTAGATTCTGGGAAATGTCTGATTGGCAGATGTTAAAAGGGATTCTTTGGTAATCCTGTGCATCAATGAGCTGCACAAATTCAGTCCAGGACTGCAAGAATTCAGGCATGAGGACACTGTGCAGCAAGCGCGCACAGGCAGACTCAAGATGGACAGAACCTTGGAGTCCCTGAGACATATCATTGCCCAAGTCTTGCCTCACAGAGACCCAGCTCTGGTCTTCAAAGACTGTAAGTACTGAAAGGGAAAAAGTTGTGTTTTTTTTTTCTTACTTTTTTAGAAAATAGCCCTAAACGCCTAGTCACATCCTATTTAAGTATGATTTCTCCTAAATCTCTGTAGTCGTGTGCTGTGGTCAGAGTGATATTTAACTTGTTCCTGACTTCAGTCAGATGAATCATTTCATTTCAGCTATGGGTATTGGTCACTGGGTTATTTTGTCAATGATAGAACTTGCTAACCATTTAGAAGGCTTGCCTAAAAATTTAAGGCTCATCTAAGATGTAGTGAACTTTTCCAGATGCTGATTTAAGTAAAGCAAGGCTGATTGGTACTAAGATTAAAACTGAAAATAACTTGAGTATAATAATAATATTTCCCTTTATTTGTTAACCTGCTTAAGCTATTAATATTGATTAATAGATTCTGTTAAAACAAGTTTTGTGTTTGTTGAAATTTTTGTTGCAAACAAAAACTAACAATAAATCACCACTGAGGACTTGAATTTTGGTGATAAATTATAACACTTCAGTAAAATACCAATAAAATAAGATTTCTCTTCATCAATACCCTCCTCCCACACCCCCCAAGAAATCTAAATGTCTATGGCAAAGTTATTTCAAAATATTTTTTTAATGACTATGAAAAATAATTCAATCAAGGTTTCCAATTCTAACAATACTATTAAACCATTTGTCATGTAACTTTGTTTCTGGAACCAATTTGATTTTTTGCTGCTGCAAAACAGACTATCTTCAAGTTGTATCTTATCTACAGTGGGTTTCGTATTACAAAGGGCTTCTGAAATAGAACTTTGCTATGGAACTGCCCAAAAGGTAAAATGCATATGGATTTTTTTTTTTTTACTTCAATAGGTTACAGGTTTCTTTGTGGATTTCGTTATGTTTGTCTCCATCAAACATCAATGGTTTGCCTTCTGATTGCTGAATAATGTTAGTTTCCAGATGTCCCTTTGGTTTATATTTCTCATGTGTGATGAAGAAAGAAATGTTAGACCATTTTATTCTATAAATTTTTCTTCTTAGAAATTAAATTGTAACCAATCTGTTCTCTCAGGCCTAAAGTAAAAATTCTCTCTCTCTCTCTCTCTCTCTCTCTCTCTCTCTCTTGCGCTCTCACCAATATTGTCTTCAAGGAAGTGTCAATAGCTGTTAGAACTAATAAAAATCACTCTCTCCCCCAGTCTAGCCTAGAGACTATTCGCATGTGATGTTTCTTTAAGTCAAAAGGGAAGGAAAGAATGTCTCTTTCTTACAATAACACAGAATTTACTAGTGAAAGGCAAAAGGGCTCTTGACCTGCCTAAAACTTTAGATAAACTGCACAGGACCAGTGGTCTTATAATGAGGGTTTAGCTAGTGGAATCAATGAAAAGAAGCAGAGGGAAAGTTTTTCACTGAGCTCATTGTGAATTTTAGAAGTTTAATCCAAAATTCTGTGGTCCACTTTTTTTTTAAATATTTATTTATTTTTGCATGCAAGAGCTGGGGTACAGACCAGAGATGTTGGGGGGGAGGGCGGTGAGAGGATTCACCAGAGACAGAGCGGGGAACAGAACAGGCAGATTGACTGAAATACGCTGCTGAGGGGAGCAGGGACTGAGGCAGAAGAGATCTGCTGTGCCATGTGGGTTGCTCCCTGCGGTGGTTAACCCCTTGCGCCAGCAGGGAGGCCCCTGGGGTCCACTTTTTAAACTGAATTAAATTCCAGCAATTGTTTACAGTTTCGCAGAGAGAATAAAATAGAAAAGGGTTAAAATAAAGTGTACATTTTATTCTTCCATCCAGACTTTTGGAGGAAAAACAAAACAGAGTCCTTTTTATATGTTTTCATTCATTAACAAAGAGGCTAAATTTGTTTCATTGCCTCTTATTTACGCTAGAATAGACGACCCCTCTGAATCTATTGCATGCCTTAGAAAGTGTGAATATATTATACCGCTGATCCCCTCTCATAAGCCAAATGGCAAATTTTTGTGCCAGGATTTTTCATACCATCAAAACATTCAAACACTTATTATCCTCCTGGAATAAATGGGCACGAGCTTTCTTACATTCTGGAAAAGGATATAAAACATCTGCCTGAGGGCCATGCCAGACATTGGAAACCTATCTAGCACATGGCAGAGGTTAGCATGAGGAGTCATTTTCTTTGGCCAACCCCTAAGTTGCTGCCGCCACACTCCTGTTTTACACAGCCTGTAAAAAGCTGCCATCAGCCTTGAATGGCAGATTCTGAGCCTCCTCTCCTAGAAGTTCCTGACTTCTCTGCCCCCAGCCCAGTCCAATTGCTTCCTGCCAGAAAGAAAGAACTAAGCACATGTCACTGCCAATTCCTTAAGAAAAATTGCTACCTTGCTTTCCTGTAAGATGAAAAACCAATCCACAAATTTTTAAAATCCAGCCCAGCTGAACAAAGAAGAACAAAAATCACTCAGAGGTCTTTTTCTAAATATCTCTCCTATAATTGCAAAGGCATTTTTCTCTCTTCATTTTGGAAACACACAGTAGAGAAGATGCAGAGGATCATTTGATTAATCTGTTGCCCTCAGTTGGCTTTTGACTTGTTAAGAACAAGCAATAGTACATGGAGTTTTTCCTTCAAGTTGGCCAAGAGACGCACCAACAGAATTTTTCTGGTCTGAGACAGATGCACATAGGATTAGTATCATTCACTTAATTAAATAAAATTTGCTTTTCTCAGCCAAGGAGTCCCTCCAAGTGACATTTTGCAAGCATTAAACCTCTCATTTCTTTTAGACAAAGTGTTCATCTGGCAAAGTTGTGATTTGTTTTTTATTTCCTTTCCTGGAAGGAAAAGAATTCTGTACCATGCCCACCCCGCCTTCCCTATTTCACTTTTCAAATGAAAAGGCATTTGAGGTTTACGCAAATCGACAGTGGGCTGTTCTCCACTATCTGCAAGTCTCCATCTTGTACCAAGTAGCACTGGGAATCCCTGCACCACCAAACAGAATGTCTCTGCAGAGAAATTAAGGCGTATCTCCAAGCTGCTCTCCATTCTTGGCTTTGTGTAATATCCAGTTTCTTTTCATGTGTCATGTCCAAATTCTAGCAACCAAAGATGAGCTATTCTAAAAACCAGCCCCTGTCAGCAATTCTGAGTATATGTGAGCTTACTATTTGTTTGCCACTGTTTGACAATTCCTCATACGTTTTCTCAAAGGAAACCACCACATGATTTCTTTTTTTTTTTTTTTTTTTTTTAATTTTCTAGAGGCATGTCTTATTTTATTTTTATTATTTGTTTGTTTGTTTGGTTTATACATGCACTGGGTACAGTCAGAAGCGCGGGAGGGTGAGAGAATTCACCAGAGCCAGAGCGGGGAGCAGAGCAGGCAGAAGGACCGAAGGACACTGCTGAGGGGAGCAGCGGGCGGCAGGAGAGGTCTGCGCGCCATGTGGGACCCTCCTCTGGTGGCCGGGGAGCAGCCGGGGATTGAACCGGCTGCAGAGGTTGCAGGCAGCTTCGCAACCCAGCGCTCAACCGCTGCGCCACCGGGGAGGCCCACCACATGATTTCAAGATGCTTGCACTTTCAGATTCTAATCTGAGTCTTAACTCTTTCAAATTACAAGAGCAGGTAATAGTCTTATCTGCCATCATTGGACTCTTTCTTCATCCATTCATAGTAATACTCAGATGTCAAGTCCTTATCGTGTGAAGATGGGCACTATGCTAGGAACATTTATTCTTCACAGCAAGCCAGTTATGTGGGTACTGTTGCTATCGATAGGTGAGGGAACTCAGATGCATTATGGCAGTTAAGGTGACTTGTCCAAGGTTACACAGCTTGTAAGTAAAAGAGCCAGGGTTTGCTCTTCCAACTCACCTTGAAGTCATTACAAAACATTGCCTCTTAAAGTTGCTATATTACATATTAGTCATGCTGTTAGATCAATAACTTTTGGAAAACAGAGGAGGTAGAGACCTGAACTTTTCTGAAAGTAAGGAGAAAATCCATTCAATAGGCAAATCTGAACAAGGGTATGAGAGAGAAGGGCATCTTTGAGGAGAGAGAACTTGTCCAAAGCCAGATCAGGCAATGCAAAAAAAAATCGATGCATTGAGGGAGGTGGAGACAAGTCTGAGAAGGCAGGTGGAGTCACACTGAAATGTAGGCAATGGGGAGCCATTGGAGTTTACAGTGATCCTAGATTAGTTCTGGAAGTTTATGGCCTATGTTGCTTTCGGGGAAAAGATTATATTGACATCTGTTGGAAGTACACTTCCTGACACCAGGCTGGAGAGAACTAGCTTTTTCACAGCAAGATTCCTTTTGTCTATTCAGGCAAGAAACAAGATTTGTGAATGTGAACCTGCCCCAGGGAAGAAACCACTTTTTCTAAGTGAAGGCCAAGGTCAAGGCAAAAGTTCTCAGGTTGTTGAAAAGTAGCTTAGTTGTCACTGCAGCCATGAGCATGCTTAAGTTTCTTACAAAGTGACATGATAGATTTCATTGACATGTTTCCACCAATTTTATAATGAAAAAATAGACTTGAAACTTCTCCAAACATTGCACAGGTAGGAGGAAATTTCTCACATATTTACATTACCTCTTCAACTTAGGGGAACATTTTTATGCATAAAAGGTTCTATTACATCAGATAGGTGAACACATAAAAAAAGTACATTTTATTTATAAAAAGTACATTTTATTTTTATTTAAAAATATCTTTGTAAACATGAATCTGGCTGTATGCAACATGAGAGCAAAAATCCTCAAGAGTCATATATTTTCTCCACCCTCTGCCTCTTGGTGTAGTTACCTGAAATCTATGAATTTGACGATACATTTATGGATTTTGCATTTCACAGAGTAGAATGTAAAGGATGAAGGTACTTATGCAGTAAAATCCCTACACATATTGCATTGCATTCCACTACATAAAATGGCCTGAAAAAATATAGTTTAGGAAAAAAAACCAAAAACCTCCACTGCTGTATAGTTCATTTTACATTAATGATAA